AAGCTACTGCAAGGAGCGCTCAGGCCTCTGGAGTTCTGCAGGTGCCTGGCTAAGTGTCCATTTACTCTCCAGAAGGCACAGGCTCACCACGCTTCCTGCAACCCATCCTGACTTGGCCACAGGGAATCCTGGGCTTTGGCGTCTGCCACCTTTAGCGGCCTTGATCCCCTTCCGATAGTGCACCTATCGCTGAGTCGTGCTGACTTGACCAACCCCAACTCCAGCTTCTTCAGTCCAGGAATGGCTGTTACTACCCTCCTTCTTTGGCCCCCCTCAAAGAACCAGCTGCTTCCCTTGAACCCAGCCAGCGGCTGGTGCCTGCTCCCCACTAACAGGATGGCGGGCTCAAGTCAATTTCCCTCACTTACGATGAGATCCAGCTCTTTGAAAGGGACCATATTTGAGTTCCCTCCTCTAACTGAAACCTCTCACCTAAAGGAAGCACTGTCTGGCGTGTTTGTGCGTGGACACATCTCTCCACACAGCTGAACACAGAAAAGCATTTTCACCCCCTGGGCAGTGAGACTAGGAGGCAAGGGCCCCATGCAGCTCTTCTCAACACTGAGTCGGCTGCGTGTCCGAATCGCTAGGTGGGGAGCAGGGGAAGCGCCCACCATAACCTCCAACGCAGTTGGTCTAGGATGGATCCTGAGCATCTGATGTTCTGAAAAGCATCCCCGGTGACTTTAATGTGGGTGGAAAGCCGCTGATTTAGGGAGAAAATGGCAAAGACGTTCAGCCGAGACTCCCCAGTGTACCCAGATGGAGAACATCCAATTTAAAAGCCAGTCCTACCCAGATCCCTGCCCCCTGCCCACTCCCACTCCCCACCGCAAGATAATCTCTGCAGCCTACAAAGTATGCATTGGAACAGCACGTTGAACTCTGGGGCCACACTTCATTTAGATGGTGCCTCTGCAACCCGCCTAAGCCTCGGAACCCCCTATTAGGGAAAGGGATCCTCTAGATATATTTGTTTTCCATCTCCTCCCCTCTTCATCTCTCATTTAAATGCAGCCCTGGTTATATACTTGCCTTTCTGCTTCTCCAGAAAATGCTTTATGTGTTGCCTTGAAATGAGATTTGGGCAGTGCCTGCCCTCTAAGTAAATAACAGCACAAAAACTATAAGCTCTATAATGCAATCAGGGGATGCAACACTAATGATATGATATTCCATAAGGCACAAAAGACTCCATTTGAGGGACGAAAACCAGCCATTCTGCTGGGGAAACTCACATGGAATCAGAGAAATCCCGCCCCCTGAATGCCAGAGTCAGACCAGCAGCTTTCTGTTACATAGTGACTGTCCACCATGATGCTTGTCACTTGTTATTCCTCGGAGCCTGGTTTCCTATCTACTTATCAAGTAGAAAATTCATTTTAGAACTATTTTCAGAGCAAGTACGAAGACATCCTTAAGGATAAATTAGCTACATTACTTCGATTCAATGAAAGACATAAATCTCTCACCCTGCAATGAGCTCAGCACATCGGAGGACAAGCCATCCTCAGACGGGCCTGCTTAGATGAAAAATGGCACAGAAATACACAAATGACTGGGGTATATAGCAGAACATGGAATAAAGCAGGTCTCTTTGGGACCTCATCTACAATGATTTAGCTATGGAAAGTACCACAAAGTTTTTTTGTTCTTTGTTGTTTCAGAAAGTTTTAACATCCAGCAAGCCCAGATCACAACCATGTTCCAGACCTAGCTAGGCAATTGGCCATCCCCACCTGGCCCTCCCAAGACCCTCAAACTCAGTGTGTCTAAATCAGAACTCAGCACCTGCCCTCCAGTGCTTGCATTCCTGATCTCAGTTAAGGAGTTGGTATCTACCCCGGTTATCCAATCAGAAACCTGATGGTTATCTTAGAACATTATCTCTTCTCAACCCTCTCCCCACTTCTTCCAAATCCCTAAGTCCTGGACATTCCATGTTGTGCACACCGTCATCTTTGTCTCTCCCATCCCAGCTCACAGCTCCTGTTTCTTTTTTTTTTTTTTTTTTTTTTAAGATTTTATTTATTTATTCATGAGAGACAGAGAGAGAGAGGCAGAGGGAGAAGCAGGCTCCCAAGGAGCAGAGAGCCCGATGCGGGACTCGATCCCAGGACCCTGGGATCATGACCTGAGCTGAAGGCAGTCGCTTAACCAACTGAGCCACCCAGGCGCCCTCACAGCTCCTGTTTCTACATGTTGCTTCCCAGACTCCTCCGACAGCCTCCTAACAGTTCCCCTGCACTAAGTCTCTCCCCCTCCAATCCCTCCTGCATTCCGCCACAATAATCTTAATGAAACAATCCTGATCGTGTCGCTCATCCATTAAAACCCTTCAGTGGCTGACTGTCTATGGAATGATGTTCAAAGTCCAAAGCAGGGTATGCGATCCTCCCCAATGCAACCTCTCCAACCTCAGGTCTCCGTGCCTCACCTTGAACCATCTGCCCCAGTCAAATGAGCCACTTCCCAGCACACCAGCCTGTCTCCCATCCCCTGACCTCTGCTGGGGCAGCTCCCTCCTGGTTGGAATAACCCCGTCTTTCTGCCCCCAGCAAAATATACTCTCTGTCTGGACCCACCTCCTCCTCAAAACCTTTGCTCTCACCCCTCCCCGCAGGAAGAACTGGGCAGCTTGCACCTTGAGCCCCTGGTCAGACCTTCTCTCAAGGAATCTACATTATCACACTTATTTATAACCCAGCTGTAAGCTCCTGGAAGGCCAGAATTGCATCTTATCTTTCCAACCTTGGTGCCTAGCAGTGCCACCTGACACATAGGAATTTAATAAATATTGGTTAAATGTTTGAATGTTGCGATGATGGCATTCTAACAGTTCCAAAACTGTTTTTCTTTACCACTCATACGCTTTGCTTTCGGCTGCTTATGATGCAGAACTGCCTCTTGTAAATCATTTGCAGAGATCCAAAAAAAAAATCAGCACAGGAGATTTATCACCTTCTTATTCCCCTTGAGAAATCATTTCTTTTTTCTTTATTCCTGAAAGAAGGGTCACACTTCAAGGCACTTCAAGAGCTGATAATAAGAAATGACCAAAATGAGTTACTCCAAATTCCTGCCCTACCTGCAGTTCAATGTCCTCTCCCTGAAAGTGATTATTGACGTAGGCACCAGGTTGAGACACTAATTAAAGCAGAATGACCATGGCATAAACCAAGACTGGCTTCTGAAATCTATATCTGTGCCCCCTGCCCACGTAGATGCAGAATAACTATAAGAATAAAAACTGACTTCCCTGGTTTTGTGGCTTCTAAGCCTATGAGGGAGTCACCTAAAAATAAAGGTGCCATTCTCAATTCAGCGGTGGGCAGCCCCTGTGCCCACGGCCAAAGCTCTGGAAGGTTCTGGGCCCACTCAGAATTCCATCTGAATGTCAAATATCTGCAAAGTGGCTGCAAGACCCAGCAAACACCCTCTTCCCCAAGTGCTGATTTCATACTGGAAAATGAACAATTTAAATAAATGTTTCATTAACGTGGTGTTTTCCTGCTTGATGCTAATGTACTTAGAGTAATTTGTTTTTCCAGGTTCTCTTCCATAGGATCATTTCATGCAATCCTCCCCAGGACAATCTGAAACTCTTTGTGTCCCTAACAGACAATCCAGAGAACCTAGAAACCAACCAAACAACCAAACCACCAAACAAATAAGCAAAAACCCTTCCGCTGAAAAACTGTCAAGACCCATTTGTTCTGGAACACAGATCACATACAACGCAGAACAGGACAGACCATCCTGACCACGTTGGTGGCCCTGGGTTTGTACCAACAGCAACACGGCATCCTTCAGCAGGCACTACGGGTCCCAGAGAGACAAGTGGGAGAGGTGGGTTATTCAGGAAGAATGTGAGTATGTAACATTTTGTTTTGAGCCCCTAGAAGGCTTGTTCCCACTCTGCTTTGCTTATCTGTACATGGATTCTTGCTGTGTACTGACTCCAAACCCCAAAAATTTCAAGGATATTTCTAACATCCTTTATTAATAGAAGCTCTTAAGAATTTCATAGCATAATGCTCAGATACACTCTCCAAACATGCAAAAGCAGGTACCCTATAAGGGTTTGTTCCCCCAACCCTGTGAGACACAGGGGATCATGTCAACATGGGGAGCAGGCTGGATGGCACACCATTAAGACATCATCTTTTGGGGGGATCCAACCACATCAGAATGGCTCTGTGTGTGCCATCATGCTGGAAGCGGGATTTTGATTCGGTTCTATCACACATGGCGAATGAAATTAAAACCAACAAAGAGGTGAAGCACTTGAACGGTGCACTCTGCGGAACTTGCTGGATGCCAGGAGCCATGTATGTGGCAGGAAGCAGAAGACCGATTAAAGAGTATGTAAATGGCTCTGGTGGCGTTGGCACTCCAGGCTCTGCCATCTAGGAGCCACAAGGCCCTGGATAAGTGACTTTATTCTGAGCTTCATCTCCTGCTTGTAAAATAAAGCCATGACAATGAGAAAACAGAAACAGTATGAGCAGCAGGGCAACACCGGCTACCCTCTACTGAGCATTCACGACTCACGACATAGCAGGTGCCGTGGAAAGCACCCTATAAACACTTGTTAAGCACCATCTCCCTTACTCCTGAGGACCCCTTCGAGGGAGAGATGCTTAACTCCAGTTCATGGAGAAGGCTCAGGGTTCAGTGACCAGCCCAAGGTCACCGAGCTAGAGTGAGTTCAAACCAAGTCTTTCTGACCAGTGTGTTCACTGGAGATCGTAACTCCAAAGACTGCCACAAAAGGTGTGAGATGATAGGTATATATATATATACACACATATATATGCAAAATGCTCTGAATGCACCACAAGAACATCAGTCATTGGTAATGCCCGTCCCTTCCAGCATTCGGATTGGCCTCGTTGACCTCTGGGCACCCAGCTCCTGGCGGCCTCTCCTTCCCCCAGATGGGGGACCCAACAATCCAAAGGTGGTGGGGAAAGAGGCCATCCCCCGGGGGCACTTACTTTCTCAGAACAGCTATCTCGTTCTCTATGCTGCTCTCCTTGCCCTTCAGCGCCTTCTTAGGGATGCACTTCACCGCAAAGAGTCTTCCACTGGCCTTCTCTTCGGCCAAGACCACTTCAGAAAATGCCCCGCTGTGAACAAAGAAGGAGAAAAAGAAGCGGCTTAGATTCAGAGTTCCACAGGGTTCCCCGGTGGCTCCTCCAATCCTGTTACCAAGGTTGAAGGAATAATAACAACAATGGCCAGCATTACTGTTACTTTTTTAGCCAGCATTACTCCCTACTGGACTTCTTCATGCAAACAAGTACACACACGCAAAGATGCCCTCGTGCAAAGGGCCACGGGGATGCCCACCTGGGTTGGAGCCGCTCCCACCACCACCTGCCACCCTGCAGAACAACGCAGTGGCAGTCGCCTCGGAGCAAACAGGGATGCTCCCAGAATGGTTCCTGCAGAGAAAGCTCGTGTCCATCTCAGTAGCCAGCACCCCACCCCCAAGTCAACGAGAAAGTAATGCTCGAATTTCTAGATTCCTCACAGGTCCCTTCATTCCAAGAAAATTTCGGAGCCCGTTGCAAACGTTAATTAATTCTCACCGACAGGTAAGGGTGTAACTGAAATGTGAGTTGATGCGACACATGGTATCGACATGGGGCTAATTTATTGGTCAGGACACTCAAGTTGTTTTTCAATACAAACAAAGGCATACATGATGCCCTGAGTGGGGGAGACTATTCTGCCTGAAAATGTGAATTGAACTCTGCAAAGGCAGAACAACACACTGAAAATCCAACCAGGACATTTGGGGTCAGAGAGCTCATTTCTCCAGAGAAGACCCCTGTGGTCAGCAAGCCCCAGAGCCAGCGCCTCAGTGGCCACCATGTTCCCCATCCCGTCACCTCCTCTATCTGCCAGCAGGCAGGGCCTGGGTCCCATGCTCGGCCTGGGGGGCAGAACGTCCCTAAGGACTGAAACAGAAGTAGGGTCCTCCATTGCCCACTCCAGGCCCCAGGAACTTGGACTCTGTGCACACAGGCTAAGGAAAATCCATGGTCCACTGAGTCATTCCCTGTCTCTAGACTTCAAGGAGCAACTCTTTTTCCCTCAGAGAGATACTACACATGGCTTCTACACAGTTATAATTAGAGACAAACCCTCCTGCATCAAAAGAAACCACTAGAAGGACCAAGGTCATCCCAATACCGGAGCCTCAGGGTCTCTGTTCTTCAGTCAACATCAAAGAGATGCTCAAGCAAGGAAAACATACTTTTCTCTTCCTCTCTTTACCCATGTGACAAGGGTACATCTCCATCACAGACCAAAGAAAATACAAATATATATATTTTAAAATCCCTTCCAGTGAGAGGAATTCACTCTGCTTAGTGCAATTAACTGTGAGTCTTCAGACAACGCTCCTTCTGGAACAGAAACTCGAGAGAAAAAGTTCAGCTACCTTCATGTCTATATCTAATTATATAAACCTGAGGGGCAGAAGATCGGCTTTCCACCAAAGAACCAAATGGAAAATATCAGAACAAAGATCTTCTGCCCAAATCCACCAATTACTGGTCGCGTGCCTTGCGTGCCTCACAGACACAGAAACCTTCTAGAACCAACCAGAACAACAGTTATGAAACATAAATACAAAAAACCTACAACAGATTTCTCACAGAGGGATAAATGGAATCAGACATTCACGGCCAACAGATTTCGCCCAATGAAACCAATTCTTGGCAACTTGAGGGAATCCCCTGAACCCAACTGTCTCTCCTCCTCACCCGTGTCTCTGGGATTGACTGACAGGGATCCACTTTACGGCAAGGGCTCTTAGGTGGACAAAACCATGGACAATTATGCTCTGCTCCCTTTCCTTACCCTCCAGAAGGTAGAACAAGAACTATGTTAGAGATGAGAAAAATCAGGGAGGAAAGACCAGGATTCTAGCACCATGGGTGATCTTAAACCAGGGATTCCATGCATTTGTTTTCGGTTTCCCTATGTGCCATTTGAGTCCTTGGTGCTGATGACACCACAGTGGTTTCTCTCCTGAGTCTGTTGGGCTGAGCGCATCTATTTTCCAGAGAGGAGAGAAGCCCTTTAGTGGCAGTGACCAAGCTGCCAGAGTTTGGTCTGAGACCTGCTAGACTTCTTGGCTGCCCCCTGCCCTGCTCTGCACCCACCATGCTCCTTCCTCTTCAGAATCTGCATGGAGAGTAACAGACTACGGCCAACACGGAAGAGGTACTAGCTATCAAGAGCTTGTAAGAGAAAACACCTCCTTATTCTGTTGATCATTCCCTCCCTGGAAAACAGGATGGGAAGTGAGGTTTCTGTGTATGAACTGACCTGGACCCATGACAGAAGGAAGGGACTACGGTCTCCATGGGAGCCAGTGCTGGTGGGTTGCTGCAGGAAGCTGAGGTCAAGGTGAGGCAGTAATGCTCCTGGATCAAGGGCTCTCTGTCTTTGTCCCTGACTTCAGGAGGGATGGACTTATCTGCAACCCTGGGTGAGGGCAGGACAGTGGGACATAAATACGTAAGGGGCTTCACAAGCTAAGCTTGACCACAAGTTACCTGTGAAAGGACACAAGGCAGGCCCCCGATGGCCAAGGATGCCCATCATGACTCCAGGAGTCTCCATCCACAGTTCCCCCGTGGAGTCACAAAGCCAAGGCTACAGTCCCATTCTCTCAGGCTGAAATTCGGTCTGCAATCCCATGTCTGGGCATGCTACCAAAAGAATCGATAGCAGGGACTCAAACAGATATTTGTGCCCCCGTGCTCATAGCTGCATTATTCACAACAGCCGAAAGGTGGGAACGACCCAGATATGCATCAATGGATGAATGGATAAACAAAATGTGGCCTATCCATATAATGGACTATTATTCAGCCATACCAGAGAATGGAATTTTGGCACCTGCTACAAGACGGATGAACCCTGAAGACATGACACGAAATGAAATAGGCCAGAATCAAAAGGACAAATACTGTACGATTCCACTTATACGAAGTACCCAGGGTGGTCAAATGCATACACAGAAAGAGTAATGGTGGTTGCCAGATTTGGGGGAGCAGAGAATGGGGAGTCAGTGTTTAATGGGGACAGGGTTTCTATATGGGAAGATAAACAACGTCTGCAGATGGCTGGTGGTGATGGTTACACAAGAGTGTGAATTGACTTAATGCCACTGAACTACATGCTTACAAACGGTTAAAGGGATACATTTTATATTATGTATGTTTTACCATAAGAAAAAATTAAAAGTCTGCCTGGTTCTACTCACTGGCATTACCTGGGGATGGACGCACTGAAAAAATTCAATAAACCTTTTCTCTCACTACCTTCCTGAAGGAGAAAGAAATGAGTAACAGCAGGGGTCGTATACCACTTGGCACTCACAAAGCACTTTGGCGTTTATCAGCTAATCCAATTCTTGCCACAACCCCAGAAAGTGTACAGGGCTTGTGACTGTCACCTCCGTTTTGCAGATAAAGAAGCCGGGGCTCAGTCACACAGGTAGTAAGGTTCAGAAAAGGAAGTTTAGGTTTTCTAACCCCTCCGAGGTCCTTTCCCACACACTACACTGGGCTGAAGCATGCTGTTGGCAGGGAGCCTGGCTCTCAAACACGGAAGGTGACAGCCGTGGAGGGTCACCGTGCCTCTGGGTGAGCTGCCAACCCTCCCCAAGCGTGCAAATCCACCTCCTCGCCTCCTTATTTAGCCAAACAATGTGCATTTACCTTCTTCAGCTTTCCAAAGACAAAGCTGTCTGGTCTTCTTAGGCGATACAAGATTAGCATAAATTGTTATTGTTCCTGCAATAAGCAGAAATCACTTGAAGGCACTTCCCCCCATGGCAGGAAAGCTAATTAAAAACATCAGAAGCAGAAACACATGAATGAAGAGTTTGGGCACTTTCAATGTAATTACACAACAAAGAAGTGTGTGTCTGGGCTGGGGCAGGGTGGGGTGGGAGAGGGGGAAGGAGAGAGGGGGAGGCAGGCTGGGAGGCGGCTGGTGGCAGGAAGGAAGATGGCAAGAACAATGATCTGAGAGTCCATAAAGGTTTCAGACAACCCAATGAAATAAATTCCTAGGAACACAAGCAGGGACAGAGAGTTACAGAGTTTTAGAAATACAGAGGTCAAAGGAGGTTCCCCCCATCAGCTGCCCATTTAAAACGGAACGGTAGAGACTTCCAGCCAGACTGTGCACACCTGCATCTTGGAATGCAGTCTGCTTCTGCCTGGCACCCAAGCCCCCCCACCCCGGTCTCTGCAATCTGACTCCCGCAACCCCAACCGCCACCGTTTGCCTGAAACCAGGTGGTCTGGGCCCTAGGGGAGGGGCCGTCTCCCAACAGCTCAATCAATGGCTCCTTCTTGCTGCTCATCCTACTGGTTTCTTGTATGGCCTCCTTCCTAAAACTCACTTCTTCTTGGATCTACAACACAGTTCTCACCTTTTACCTCCTGTCCATTGTGTCTCCACCTCCACCTGCTCCTCTTCCCCCCATCAAACGTCAATGCTCCCCCAGGCTGCATCCTCGGCTCTCCCTTCATCCTATTCTGCACCTGCCCCCTGGAAAATCAGTTGTCTCCAGTTTCCACCCCCCAACTCCTCATGGCCCCCTAACCTTCATCTAAATGTTAATCTCGTTCATGTGCAATCTCATCTTTCCAGCTGCTTACGAGGGCCTTCTGGCTGAATCTCCCGACCAGCCTCTGAAGAGCCCCATAAACAAAGTAAAAAACAATATTTTTTAATTAATTTTTTTAAATTTTATTTTATTATGTTACGTGGCTAAAATTAACAAGTCAGGAAACGACAGATGTTGGCGAGGGTGCGGAGAAAGGAGAACCCTCCTACGCTGTTGGTGGGAATGCAAGCTGGTGCAGTCACTCTGGAAAACAGTATGGAGGTTCCTCAAAAAGTTGAAAATAGAGCTACCATATGATCCAGCAATTGCACTACTGGGTATTTACCCCAAAGATACAAATGTAGGGATCCGAAGGAGTACGTGCACCCCGATATTTATAGCAGCAATGTCCACAATAGCCAAACTGCGGAAGGAGCCAAGATGTCCATCGACAAATGAATGGATAAAGATGTGGTATATATATAC